AGACACGCCGAGGAGGGGAGTGGGGGGGGGTGTCCCCCGGGGGGGGGGGGGGGCGCTGCCGAGGACAGTAGAAAGGGAGCTGTGCTGAGGGAGAGGAAGGCCACAAGATGCCTGCTGCTCAGGGAGCTTCAAACTGGCAACGAGGAGGAGGAGGAGGATCCTCCCCCGTGCCGCCTCAGAAGAGCAAGGCGAATGCTGAGGGGAAGAGAGCGGAGTGAGAGCCCGCGGCCCAGGGAGCCCCCAGCCGCTTTCAGAGAGAGCCAAGCCTGCTGGGCTGGAGGGGCTGCGTGGGGGGGGACGACTCTCTGGGGAGACCAGCTGGTTGCAAAAAAGTGCAGTCTTCAGAACAGGGAAAGGGTCCAGGAAATGACAGACCACTCAGGGAGCAAACCAGAAGAGACAAACCCGCAGTCAGTCCGGGAGCACCCAGGAAACAACGGGGTGGCTAGTAGAAGTCAGAAGGGACTGGCCAAAGTCAGGCCTCGTGGCTCACAGGATATAGTATGGAGCAGTCTGGTGTCGTGGTTGAGTGCGCAGAGGACTCTCATCTGGGAGAACCGGGTCTGATTCCCCACTCCTCCTCCTCCACTTGCACCTGGCTGGATGGCCTTGGGCAAGCCCTAGTTCTGACAAGAGCTGTCCTTGGAAAAAGAGCTCTCTCAGCCCCACCTGCCTCACAGGGGGTGCCTGTTATGTGGGGAGGGGAAGGGAAAGGAGATGGTAAGCCGCTCTGAGACTCCTCTTCCTCCTCTTCCCCTTCTTCTTAACATAAGAACATAAGAGAAGCCAGTGTTGGATCAGGCCAGTGGCCCATCTAGTCCAACACTCTGTCACACAGGGGCCATCTTCTGTGGGCTACAGTGGAGTGTTGTCCGGAGGATTGACAGCCGGCCGGCTGAGACCCAGGCCCCAAAGAGTGTGTGTCAGTGACACTCTGTCTGTGGGGAGGACTCACGTGGGCTGCTGCCACTTTCTCTCAGTGGGCCCCACGAATGGCTGGAGGGCGTCCTTATCAAATGTGCAGAGGACACCAAACTGGGACAGTCAACAGCCCAGAGGAAGAAATACAATTCAGAGTGACTTTAAGAGGTTGTCAGGTCAGTCAGAGACTAACAAAATGGAACTAGACAGTGACAAAACACTTAGATTTTTAAAAAGGAAAGATAGAAAAATTTTAAAAGTATAGGAAAAAAGAAGGAGTTATGGGGTGGGGGAAGCAGAAGGAAGAATGCCTGCACTGGCAGTAGCACCCCCAAAAAGAATCTCAGGGTTGCAGTTGATTGCATGCTGGACATAAGCCAGCAGTGTGGTGCGGCTGCAAAAAACACTAATATGATTTTAGGGTGCCTTCATAAACTGAAAAAAATTACGTTCATCTTTCATGATAAAGTAAAGCAGAGATCTGGAGGCACCTTAAAGACTAACATTCATTCCAGCAGTGAGTCTGAGTTCACTTCTTTAGAGTTGCAAAGGAAGGGAATCCTGTTGTGTTGACACCAGGCCTCTCGCTACCCCCCCCCCCCCCGTGATTTTTCTTTCAAAAATCTCAAAAATTATTTCCTTCCTGTGGCATCTGAGGAAGTGAGCTCTGACTTACGAACATCGTGAGTCTTGGGCCTCTGTGTGGTCGTCGTGCTGAGCGGGGTGCCTCCGGAGCCCTCCGCCTCTCTTAGAAATGCTCTGCCTGGAATCCCAAGACTCTCTCCGGCTTAGTCCCCCTGCAAAGACCTCCTCCAGCACGGACGGAGGAAAAGGTCTCTCTCTCTGGAGGGAAGCCTTTCTGTCGGGGGGGGGGGGCTGGGTGTGAGTGCCCCACCCTCCGCCACCCTCGAAGACCAGCCTGCTTTGGGGCTCGGTGCCGTCGTTCAGACGTTACGCTTGACACTCTGCTCCAGACATTGCCGCTTTCCCAGACAGCGTGAACATTCTGGACGGCGTCTGTGAAGACATCCGGACCCCAGACAAACTCATTGACGGGGTGAACGACGCAAACGACGGGAGGCACATGTGGCTGGCGCCAATTCTTCCTGGCTTGGTACGCTTCTCTGGTGTTTCCTGCCTCCGCCTCTGGCCTATCCGTGCTGAGGGTCGCCTTGTGCCTGCAGACGCCTCTGGGGCGGGACTGGTGACACACACCCTGTCTTCTAATGGCAACAGACATCTCTCTGTAGTTTTTTGGGGGGGAGCTCAGAGAATCCTGCCCCCCCTGCTTTCCTGTCCGGAGCAGGAGCCCGCCATAGGCTGGGGGCGGGGGCCGCAGAAAGAGGCCCCACGTCAGAGAGTTGGTCTCGGGGCAAACAACGCCCCACCCCCCACCCCGTACAGCTCTGTTCCTTCCTGCCCGAGTAATGCTTTCCCGTCCATTAAACATTACTTGGGGGTTAATTTCGGAGGCACAGATGTGATTCTGTTTGTTGTTAACTCTCCTTTTTTGGCGGCAGGTGAATCGGGTGTACGTCATCTTCGATCTTCCTACGACGGTCTCCATGATCAAGCTGTGGAATTATGCCAAGACTCCGCACAGAGGCGTGAAAGAGTTTGGAGTAAGCGCTCGGCCTCGCCGGGCGGGTTGCGTGACCGCCGTAGTCCCTCTGGGTCTCGCGCATCCCGGGGCGCACCTGTTTTGTAGCTTGTCACTTGGGGGAGGGCCGGGGGGGGTGTCTCAGCCGGTCTGGCCGCGAAGGCGCAGGCAGCCTCCCCTCGGGGCGCTTCCCGGGACTCCCCGGCCTCCCGCCACTCACCCCGGCGTCTCCTCTGTCCTCTGTGTGCAGCTCCTGGTGGACGACTTGCTTGTCTACAACGGGATCCTGGATAGGGTGAGCCACCTCATCCACGGCATCCTCCCAACCTGTGAGCCGGTCGTCCCGCATCACACCATTCTCTTCACGGAGGATGAGAAGATCTGCGGCCGAGAGAAGAACGCCGTCCTCAGGTGTGCCTGCAGCCCGTCTCGTGCTCTCCTTGTCCTCCAGGAGCCGGGGTGCCGTGGCGGAGCACGCCCGGTGGTCTCCTCCTCTCGGAACGCCAGGCTGCCCTGGCCAGACCGCAGCAAAGAATTCCCTTCCCTCGAACCGTCAGCCCCGGAGGCCTCTTGCCTGGCTCAGCAGCACCCCCCTCTCTTCCTCTCTCCACCCGCATCGAGCCAGACCTCCGGTCGGGGGGGGGGGCAGGCGTTCGGCCAAGCCTGGCTCCCTTCCGGCCAGCATACCGGCCTAGCAAGAGGCAGAGCTTCCCTCGCAGGACTCCCGCCTGGGAGAGCAGAGGAGGGAAACGCCACGGAGAAGGAGAGATCGAATTTGACTGGTGTGTGGTGGAGGTGGTGGAGGAGGAGGCGGCCCTTAGCCCCAAGCACCTTGGTGCCAGTCAAGCCGTTAGTGTGCTTGGTGCCAGCAGGAGAGGGGGGGGTCCCCTCAGCCATCGGTCTTCACGGCTTCCCTAAGCCCAACGTCCTCCCTGTTCAAGGTGCTCCTTTGGAATCCTCCAAATGTGCAGGGGGCAACGGAAGGCGGCCACCTGCCACAGGGTTCGGGCAGGGCAGGGAGGAGGGGTCCCAAAGCAGCTCAGCCACCCCCTCCATCCCTCTGTCCCTCCCACCTGCTGCCTGGAGGGGGCCCAGGCCATTGGGGACACGGTGCTCCCCCCTCTCCCTGCCCTCTTGTGGCTTCCCCCTCAGCACTCTCAGAGGAGGGCGCACAGTGCTCAGCAGGGGGGCCGGAGAAAGGGAGGCGGGGGATCCCGACCCCACACGCCCTGACGCTCTCTTCCCTCCCCCCCCCCCAGCAATCACATTGAAGATCAGGACGTGCGGCTGATGGACGACAACCAGGTGGTCGCCTACTCCAAGAAGAGGCAGGTGGCTGCCGACCCAGGTGGGCTGTGTGGCTGCTGGGAGGGGGCTGGGCGCAGGGACCCTCGGTGGTGCTGGGAGGGGTGGCGGGGGCGGCAGCTGCTGTGGCAGGGGTTTCCCTCGGCTCCTCTGCCATCCGCGCCTCGGGCTGCTGGGGGGGGTGTATCAAGGGCCCAGCCCCGTCTTTAGCCACTGTGGAAGCTGCCCCCCCCCGAACCTGTGCCTCAGCCCCTCCCCCCCGGCCTCCCTGCCCCAAACGGCCTCTGGACCTCACGGCTCCCCCCCCCCCCCCCCCCCCCACCCCTCGTCCCAAAACCCGCATGCAAGACAGGAAGCGCTGCAAAGGACGTGGCGGTGACCGGAGGCAGACGGAGCCCCTCCCAGCTGGCCTGCAAGCCCAGGACCCGGCCGGCAGCTGCCGGCAGAAGCATTTTTCTAATCAGCGGCAGATCTATTAAATCTATTCTCTGAAAGGGACACTGGCTGCTTCTGGGAGTCCTGGGGGGGGAGGGCTACAAAGACACATCTGGCGCCTCCCCCGCTCCTCTGTCTGCTTCAGCTAGTGGGGGGGGGCACGCAAGGCCCCCAGGTTCCAGGCCCCCCGACCGTCTTCCCAGGCTCCTAGGCTGGTCTGGAAGCAGCAGTCACAGCGCCGCAAGAGACCGCCCTGCTGCCCACCGCCCGGCCTCCTCCTCTGGAGCCAGCGCCTGGGGGGCTGGTGGAGACGGTTCTCCTCACCGCACCTGGCACAGCATCTCTCTCTCTCTTCCCCTGCCTGGAGGCAAGGCGGCTGCCCCCCCCGCCTCCCAGAAGCCCCCCTCCCTCCCT